AGTAAAGAGAATTTTTCATAATTTCAGAAATAAGAATAATCATTTTTTTTTTTTTTTGCACATACATAAAATATCGGTTTATCAATTCGTAATAATTTAATGCTAAATTCTTATCATTTTTTCTCCTAACTCACAACGAACTTATCAAATATTATTTTTTTTCTTAAGTTAAATTATTATCACTTTTATCCTAACTAGCAATAAACTTATCAAACATTATTCCTTTTCTTAAGTGAGGTTGTTAACACCTTTGATAAACTTATCAAACATTATTTCTAAATTGCTATCATTCTTGATAAATTTATCAAACATTATTTCTTTCCATAAGTTAAATTGTTATCACTTGTATCCTAACTTGCAATAAACTTATCAAACATTATTCCATTTCCTAAGTTAGGTTGTTAATGCCTTTGATAAACTTATCAAACATTATTTCTTTTTCTAAGTAAAATTGTTATCACCTTTGTCATAACTTGCAATAAATTTATCAAGCATTATCCCTTTTCTTAAGTGAGGTTGTTAACACCTTTGATAAACTTACCAAACATTATTTCTAAACTGTTATCACTTTTGATAAACTTATCAAACATTGTTTCTTTCCTTAAGTTAAATTGTTATCACCTTTGTCATAACTTGCAATAAATTTACCAGACATTATTTCTTTGCTTAAGTTAAATTGTTATCATTTTTATCCTAACTTCCAATAAATTTATCAAACATTATTTCTTTGCTTTATGTAAATTTCATATTACATATTCTCAATTTATCTAATATTTTCATTTTTCATACAAATTTTCGCATATAAATGTAATTTTTGCTCAATTTTTTTTATTAGAAAGGAAAAAAAAATGAAAAACTAAAAATAATCAATATTTTGATAATTATTCATTAATGATAAAATATGTTTTTCGAAATTTTTGATTTAAATTAAGCAAACTTAATGGTTTAATCATTTACACCTGAAGACAATGATCAGGTAAAGAATTTTACTGAAACGGTATGTATCCTGTCAACATATTTTATAGTTAATTAAATAATTGATAATTAATTAAATAATTATAAATTTTTTAGAATAATTATTTGAATATTTTATATTTGTTAGAAAATTTTCATTTTTTTTTCTTATCCTTCTCATTAAATTATGAAAAAAAAAAGTTAAATTTAATTTTTTAGCTAATAAATTTTAATTAATTGCAAAGAAAAAAAAACAAATGGGTAATCGTGAATCATCAACAAAAGAAGAAGATGGTAAACCAAAAGAAAATGATCGACCACGTTTATATCAATATGTTGATGTACATGGTGGTGGTGATTTGATATCATTTATGTGGCAAGCTAAAAATAACAATGATTTTTCACAAATTAATGAATTAATCGATTTAAAGGTTTGATAACATTTCAATCATAAATATTATCAAGAATTTAGGTATTTAATTTTTTCATTTTATTTTATTTTTTAAATATTATAAAATATAATAAATAGGTAACAAAAAAAGGAAAAAAAAATCAAAAAAAAGCGGAAAATTTTTAGTGTAAAATTTTACAAAATTAAAAAAAGAAATTGAAAAAAAAACTAAAAAAAAAGTTGAGAAATTTTTTTGGTATAAAATTTTGCAATACAATAAAATTTGTGCCGAATTAATTGAATTTTAGAAAATAGATAATCAAATGATAGTATAATCATTTTAATTAATTTAAATAGTAATTTAAAGTTTATTTTTGAACAAAAAAATTATTTTTAATTATTTGCAAAAGAAATTGAATTATTTTTTGACGGCAAAAGAATTACTTAAAATTAAAAAATAATTTTTGAAGTAAATTGAAGTAAAATTATTTTAGATAAACAATTTTTTTCTTTTTTTAAAACCAAAAGTGGGAGATGATGATAATGAGAAATGAACCGCGATGATATGAGTGATATTGATAAGTGAAAATTTTACTGATAAATGGAAATACAATAATTTCTATAAATATTACAAAAAATATTGAATTTTCATTTTCGTTTTTTTTTATTAAAATTTAAAGAACGACAAAAATTTGAAAATATTCCATTTAGTAAGTTATAAGAAAATTTTGGAAGTTCGGGAAAAAAATGACGAAATTCCTTTAAACAATTAATTCGTAGAAATAAATTAATTGAGTTAATTTATATATGAATTAATTTTAGATTAAAGATTTAATGTACAATTCCGGTAAAGGAAAAATGGTAGCAGTTTCGGAATTGGTTAAAATACGCAATAAAGAGCGTAATGCAATGTTAAGCGCATTAAAACGTAAAAAAGGAAAAGGTAAAAGTGGGCCAAATATTTTGGATGATTTCAATCAAGAAGGTGAAAATCAAGGCGATTTAAAAAAGGTTTTATTTTATATACAGTTGTATAATGGAAATGATAATAGTAATGATATTGGCGAGAGTATAACATTAAGTATAAGTATCAACTAAGCATCGATAATAATAATAATAATAATAATAATAATAATAATAATAATAATAATAATAATAATAATAATAATAATAATAATAATAATAATAATAATAATAATAATAATAATAATAATAATAATAATAATA